CAGAGGTGCCCCGTGGGGCCCCATCCTCTGCCAACCAGTGGGCTTCCTGTTGCCCCACTTCCTGAAGCCCCCAGCAGCAGATGGTGGGAAGCGTCCTTGACTCAGATTTTGCTCTGTTGCTTGCTGGCTGTGGGATCTTGGTCTGATTGTCATCACCTCACTGAGCCTCAGTCTCCCCATCTGTAAAATGGGCTGAATCCACGCATGGCCAGGTGACTGCGCTCCTTCAATGGAACCAGACTTCTCAGGCTTGACACTGAGCGGCGCGCGAGAATGCTCCTCCCTGCCCCTTTCTGGCCAGTGTGGCCCTGGGCAGCCAGAGGGGGCAGGGAGCCACCTTTGAGGCACCGCCCTTGCCTTCAGGTACTGAACAACCTGGCTCCACTGAGGTTCCCCGCAGCCCCCCTGAGCCTGGCCCTTCTCCCCTCATTAGCTTCCTGAGCAAACATTTACTGGGTACCAGGCGCTGCTACGGGAAGGGGGTGATGAATCAAAGCAGCATGAGGTCCGGGCTGAGGTCAAGGGTTTCATGGACACATTCCTTCAACCTCTGTCTGGCAGCATCTGTGGGTGCCAGGCCGTGTCCTAGGCCCTGGTCCACAGCTGGGAGTGAGGGAGTGGGTGGGGAGGAGGGCAGAGCTTGCCTGTGGCTCTAAGATTTGCTAATTAATTAGGAAATCCAAGGCGAGTGCCTGGTGATACTGTTTTGACTTGCTATCCAGACAGGAGCAGCCCAGCCCCCCATAATTGCTGCCTCTGCTTCCTTCAGGGCTCTTTGGGTGCATCAAAGGACTCCCAAGGCCCTGCAGCTCAGCGCCAGGGTGCGCGGCAGCCGCAGGCCACTTCCCAGCTGAGACAACTGAGCCTGAGGCCGAAGTTCTGCTTGGGGGGCACAGAGAACAGGGCTGGCACAGGGTTGCTCGTGATAAGACAGCCAGGGGCCTGGGGGTGTCAGAGCTAGAGTGGGGCCTGTCCCCGCTGTGGGGTCCAGGTGCTGGGGGAGACTCCGATGCATCCCAGAGGTATGAGTGTAGCGGGTGGGGAGGCTGTTCTGGCACCTTCTCTCCCCGTCACCTGCTAGCTCCCACTTGGCCTTGATCCCCGCCCGGGGGGCCGCCTCCTCCTGAAAGCCTGCCTCAGCTCCAGCTGGGTCAGCTGCCCCCTGGCTCCTGGAGCACCCTGCTTAACCTGGGGGCTTCTGTATTGCCCCTGCTCTTACCCCTGTGAGGGTCCCAGCAGGACAGGGCGCAGGTTTCCATGGCTGTGGACCCAGTGCCCAGCCTGGCGCGGAGCAGTGACATCCCCCGAGGGGTGGAGTGAGCAGCAAACCTGCTCCACCCTCTCTGGGCCCAACCTGAGCACAGCACTGTGGCATTTGGGGATTGAGGCCAGGTGCTGGGGCCTCAGTTTCCCCAGAACCTCGTCTAGGGAGGTGTCGCTCACGGCAGAGAGGGAAGAATGTTCCATCTTGGCACTTGCGGGCAGCAGATGGAAAACCATCTTACTGGCTCTGGGCCAAGGGAGTTTGGACTTGGGACCAAGACTGTGCTGGGCCCTGCCTACCCTTGTCATGAAGTTACTTACCGCCCTGTGCCTCAGTGTTCGGTACAACGGGCCACTCAGGGACCCACCTGGAGGGCTGTTGGGCTGAAACAAGTAAACACAGGCCAAGCTCTTAGCAGAGGGTGGCACCAGCAGATTCGTGTTTGCTGATACCTGATCTTAAATCCAAGCAACCTACTCCTGTGACTCTGATTGTTTGTTTTCTCACTGATGGTGTTAACTTGGTTACAGTCGAGCTTGCCAGGTCTCTCTCCTGTCAAATGTCTGTCTTCTTTTTTTTTTAACCCTTTCTAGACTTTTCTTTGAAAGGGTATCTGGAGGCCTGTTGCGTTCTCAAAGTGGTGGGGAATTCAATTTGGCTGGCTGGAGTAGGGAAGCAGTAAGGCACCCAAGCAGGGAGCTGAGCGAATCTTCCCTAAGGAAGATCCACCTAGTCTCCCCCATTTCTTCGCCTCTTCAATCATATTGCTATCAGTACGGACTCATGTTTGTTCATTTTATACTCTGGGCCATAATCTGATTATGTGCTACTTGTTCTGTCGCCCCGCCTGCTCTGGGTTTGGCCAATGGGCTCCCGTTCAGGCTGGCTCTGGTGTCTGTTGAACACCACTGTCTGTCTGTTTTCACTCTTTAGCCTAACAGGATGCTCCAGCCTCACCTGGGAGTTTCTCTGCCCCAGCCCCAGAGTCAGTCGTTTTTCTCAGGAGTCCCGGTTCCTCCGAGTGGAGTATTCGAGGGTGGTATTTAGAAACCAAGGTCTGGGCACTCGATGTGCTTATTGCTAGTGGGCTGTCACTGCTCCCGAGCCTTCTTGGGGGCAAAGCTGGATTCACTTTCATTTAAAAATAAAATTTTCCCTCTTGCCAAAGACAGTTTCCATTCCGAAGCTCTAGTCAGCTGTCCGCGGGCCTTTCACAAACCTTGTGCCTGTGCAACCTCACATGTCCTATGTCCACTCAAGGGAGAGAGAGCTTGGGGCCACTCCTCCTTGCTGAGTCACTTCCTGTGTCCAGTGCTGCTCCCCAGTGGGCCATCAGGTGGCCAACTCACTCTGGGTGAGGGACCAGGCCTGGCCTCAGGGGCTCCCTCAGTTTGCTGCAGGATTTCAGGTTTACTCCTTGGGGGCCTCATGACCGTGTCAGCAGGGGTGACAATAGCCTGATCCTAGTCACAGGGCCTGGGTGGCCACCTGGAGCAGGTCAGAAAAGGTCATAGCAGGAAGGCCTGACTCAGCCACCATGCCCAGCACACCCAGGTGGCCCAATGCTAACGGGAGAAAGGCCTGGTGAGCCGGTCCCTGCTCTTCCTTGCCTTTCTCAACCCCTGCCCCACCCGACACGACTCACTGATGCCCTGAGAGACGGGACCCAGAGGTGGCTCCTCATGGAGCAGCAGGAAGTCCTGCAGCGGCAGGAAGTCAGGGCAGAGCCCTCAGCCCCCAAGGCAAACTGAGCACCCTCCCCCAGGTTGCCAGAATGTCTCCTCTATCTCCTCACAGCTCTTGGCTGGGAGTCTGGAGGCCCGAGTTCCAGGCCTACTTCTACCAGTGACTTCATGCCTTACCTTTCTTTAAATCTTCAGGGGCTCCCTACTGCCCTCAACGTAAAATCCCCACTCCTGGACCTGCCATGCAAGGCTCTGGAGACTTCCTCAGTACCCCTCAGGCCCTAATAACACCAAATAGATTGTGGTTCTCTTGCCTAACCCCAGGTTGTGACTTCACAATCGACTCTGCATGCCTCGCCCCCTCCCGCTGCTCTCTGACAGCTTCCCACCTCTTCCCAAGGCCTCGGGTCTGGGGTCATCTCCTCTAGGAAGCCTTCCTCCTATACCCCAGATCATCCCTGCTCCCAAGGTCGTGCTCCTGGTTGCCTGAACACAATTCCTAAGCCCCCTGCTGAACGATCTCTGGAGTGTAGGGCAGCAACCACTATTAGCCCAGAAGGCTTGGGGATGAGGACTCTGGTTTCCCTTGAGGCCTCTGCTACTTCCTGTTGTGTGACCGAGGGCAAGTCACTGTGGTTTTCTGAATCTCAGTCTCTTTCTGTGAGAAAAACATCAAAACAGCGGGCCCCGGCCCTACTTTTAATTCTGACTTCTGCCTCTGACTTGCTGTGTGGCCTTGGGTGAGCCTGGTCATCAGGCCCAGCCTCACTGTTCTTCTTCTGTAAAATGGGGCCGCCCACAAAATTCAGGATACTGAGGCTCCAACAAGCCATCACTTGTGAAAAGCTTTGGTGAACCTCCCAGCCGTACACAGAGGGTCGGAGCACCAATTTTAACAGCTCCGCGGAGACGTGTGGGAGGAGAGTGATGGGTCCTCTCCCGTCCTGCCTGCCAGCCCTCCAGAGGCCTGGAGATCAAAGGTGACAGGCCCCTTGGCATGGAGGCCGGGCTCGGCAGGGCCTGCTCTCTGGCCCCCTGCCTGTCTTCCACCCACCCCCGCTCCCAGTTTACATGACAGCAGTGCCTTGCGCAAGAGGCTGTTTAAACACCCCACTTCCGACACAGAAGGCCTCTCCGACTGACCCAGTGTGCCTCAGAGAGACTCCAGGCCAAGATCATTGGAACCATCTGAAACTTTATTCCAGAACAGAAATAAGTCATTGCCTAACAATAAATATAAAAAAAATAATAAATTAAGGTCAAAAAAAAAAAAAAAAAACCCAACAACAAAGGCATTAACACTGACAGAGAAGTGAATATTGTCTAAAGCGCGGGACGGCGGACGGGGACAGCAGGGGCCCTGCCGCACCGGCCCCGGCCCGGGAATGTCAGCACAGCCGTCCTCTGCCCCCCCCTCGCCAGGCCCCTGCCACACACACATTCTCTCCACAAAATACAAAATATATAAACTTTTCAAAGCTCAACACAACCAAGCATCCTGCGAGGGCCCGGGGGGAGCACAGCTAGGCTCGCGGGGCTGAGGACAGGATACGGCTATGGAGGGGGGTCCCTGTGGGGACCCCAGCCGGGGTCCTGAGCGTCTCCACGCAGGCCTAGAGTCAGTTCAAGAGCCCCCCTGAATTGACTGAGTGTCCTCTGATGGCGGGTGGGGGGGCCTGAGGTACCCTGTTCACGTGGCCTCAGGCCCCCTCCCCCAAGACGGCGAAGGGGGCCGGTTTGGAGATGTCCGCCCGTCGGTCCAGAGGCCATGGCAAGGCCCCCGCCCAGGGACGCTGGGACGAGGCGTTGTCTGCTAAGTGCTTGGCTCTGTCCAAGATGGGTGAGGTGGCCCCCCGCTGGGGTTCCTGAGCATCTCAGTCAGGCCCAGGTAATACGTTCAAGAGCCCCCAGAAGAGAGTGGGGGTCTTGGTGGCATTGATAAGAACTAGAAATAAATAAGGTCCCTGGTGGCCCAGCGCTGAGCCGGGAGGGTGGCCTCGTCGTTTCTTCAAGTATTCTTGGCCGAGGAGGGTGCGAGGCCCTGTCGGGGTTCAGATGGGGATCCCCACCGTGTTCACCTGGTCCTTGAGTCCCAGCAGACTGTAGGCGATGCGTTTCTGGTGACCGGGCAGCCGCACCCCAATCCTCTTAATGTCCCTGTGGGTAGAGCGAAGCATAGTAGAGTTAGGGGTCACTGAGGGAAGGGGCGGCTGGGCTGGGGAAGGCAAATGGAGGTGGGGAGAAGTGGGGGTGGGGGGTCCTCAGGGATGAGAGTTCTAGGCAGAAGCCTAACAGGTGGACCCCATCCTAAAACCCTGCCCAGCAGGCCCCATCTACAAGGGCAGGAAGGCGGAGGCTGAATCGAATCGGCAGGACCATCTGGGAGGGGGGGCTCTTGACGCCCCACTTGGGAGATTAGCAACCTGAGGCTCAGAGAGGTGAGGTAATTTGCCCAAAGTCACACAGCAGGTTGGTGGGAGAGCTGGGGATCCGGCCAGCTGTGAACAAACACCCCTCCCCCACTCCAGATCTGTCCCCATGTCCCCAGCTGAGGCCTGGTTCCCAGGCAGATGCCACCCGCAGGCCCCGAGAGCCGAGGTCTCTCTGGGGGCGTTGCTGTAAGCCCCCCAGCCACGCTCTGTCCCCAGGCAGGGTCTTGTTTCGCCCTCACTCCCTCCAAGTGACAAATAGGAAGCCTCAGGAAACCCTCGCTGAGGGGCCATCGGGGGCCCTGCTTTAGTGGAGGGGCTTGCACAGGCCACATCAGGCGACCGGGTCCCCGAGGAGGTGGTTTCCCTTTAGAGCCTCAGTTTCCTCTCCTGTAAAGTGGGATTGCAGTGCCCGTATGCAGGGCAGGAGACCCCGGAGGGAGCCGGTGGCCCGGGGAGGCGGCGCCCGCGGCCCTCCGGCCTGCCCCTGCCCCTGCCCCTTCCGTGCAGCTCCAGCCCCTCGTAAAATCACTTACGCTGCCGGGAGCCCTGGAGCAGGACGTTTGTTGCTCACTCTGGGAGTTTTCTCCTCCACCGTCCTCACCCACCAGCCCAAACCCATGAAAACACCCAGGTTTTTATGGGCCGTCTCCTGGCTGTAAATGGAGCTAATTATATGGTGCACGCTCCTAGTTACAATTCCGGAGACATGACTTTCCCACAGGCTCCGAGGGCTCGGCGGGGCAGGGCAGAGCCGGTGCGTGGGGCGGGCGGCCCAGGGGCCTCCAGGAGGCCGCCGCTCCCCTGAGGCACGGAGGCCCGGAGTGGGCCGCTGGGAGAACTTCCTAGCCCACCCCGGTGGCCGCTGGGGTGTCTGCCGCACCCCTGCAGATCCCCCAACATCTCTCGGATAAGCACTCGGACACTGGGGAAGGGGAACTTCATAGGAAGCGGGGTCCTGGACCCCACCCCAGAATCCTTGGCCTTGACTTGCTGAAGGTGGAGGAGGAGTCTGCCCTTGGGCAGAAGACCCTGACGTCTGGTTTAAGGACGAGTCTGGCTCTAGGAGAGGGCAGTGGCCGGGACCGGTCCCAGCAGACGCCCGGACACAGGAGTCCTCAAGATGTGTCTGTTGAGTAAATGAATGAATGTCTGGGTGGACACCAAGCCGTTGACTAGGCCACCTGAGGTCCTCTCCAAGCCAGCGCAGTTAACCTGACGGGGTGGGAGCTGAGGTGGGTTTTGAAGCCCTTCTGGAAGGCAAAAGTCCGGGGCTGGAAGGCACGAGGTCAAATTCCAGTCCTAGATTCCATCAAAGCCTTGGGTGGGGCTGGCCAGGCCTGTCTTCTGGCCTCAGTTTCTTTATATGTAAATGGAGGCTTTGATGCCACGCTCTCCAGCCACCTACCCCAGGCCCCTACTCTTCCAGCACATACCCCCAAACGTCCCTGGTTCATTTCCTAACCATGCAGCCATCACTGCTTGTGGCCTATGGCACACCAGCCCAAGCATGTGCCTCCCCAGCCTCAGTTTCCCCACCAGGAATCCAGGGCCATCACGCCCATCTTCTCCCTTCACGGGAGTGGGGACACATAACTGAGGCCACCTTTCTTTTGAACCCTGGTTCCCAAGATTCAAAGGCAACACCTCCTGGTGCACACACTGTGTGCCAGCATCCGGCACAGGGAGAAATGGCCTCGGAGACTCGGTGTGTGGTCAGGCATTCACTCAGCAAACATCTCATTCACATCAAACCTGGCAGAGGCCTTGCAGAGCTCACAAGCCCCATCAGCCTGTCCCCCACACCCCTCACAGCATGCCTTCTGTAATAGCCCCCAAAACGGGACGGGCCTTTGCCTGGACTGGGCATTTTCCAAGGGTGAGACGCCCACCACTTAACTCAGCCTCTCAAAAAACACTGAGAAACACTAGTCCAGCTCGAAGCTCAGGAGACTCCAAAACAACGCGGGGAATGCTCAGGTTGAGAAAGGGCAGCCACGCGGATCACGGGACATGGGCCAGCGCCTGTGTCCAGAGAGTCCAGGAAGCAGGGAGGCCGAGGGGGCAGGACGGGACAGGGAAGCCTAAGTCTCCTGGCTCCGTTCTCAGCGCCTCCTGCGGGACCCAGGCACGCTCGACGTGGCCTTCAGGTTGAAAACTGCTTTGCGGTTCCCGCTTCATTTATTTGAAGTCGGCGAGAAGGAGCCCGGAGCGCTGGGCAGGCTGGCACAGCCCGCACCACGGCTGGAGGGAGGAGGAGGGAGCGTGGAATGACTTCCTGCCTTTATCCAGGCCGTTTCAAAACACAACACACACACACATCCATCCAAGACTGTCCTGTCCCTGCTCGTGGGAAAGGAATTGGCCGAGGAGCACCCCGGGCTATTTCGGGAAGCTTCCAAGAACATGTGTTTCCTGTAAGCATGTCTCGGCCCCCACCTCTGCTCACCCTGACGAGAAGCTGAGAAGCTGCACTGTCCCAGGTGGGAGCGATGGAGGGGCAAGGAGGGGTGTCCCCGGTTCCCAGGGAAAAGGAGGGGACGCCGGGACCCTGGCCTTTGCCCAGGGACTGTGGGTGGAAAGCAAGGGAGAAAAGAAGGGGAGGGACGGGGCGTCAGCCCCTCCGTGTGTGAGGTGTGCCACTTGCGACCCAAAGATGAAACCTACGTTGGCCAGGGCCCCCCGCGGGAGTTCCAAGCTGGAGCTTGAACGCAGGCTGACCTCAGACCCCGATACCGAGGCCCCTCTCCTGGGACCCGTCTCCTTTCCATGCCGCTCCCTCTGCTCAGCTCTGTCCCCGCCCGACCCCCTCCGCTGGCCTGGTCTCCGGGACATGTTGCCCGCGGCCTGGCCTGGGAGGCCCATCCGTCAGGTCAAAAGCCCAGCTGAGCACTTTTCAGCCCCAAATCCCAGAACCTCCAGGACCCCAAAGCGTGGGAGACTGGATCGTCTCTTCCATGAAAACCTCCCAGCCCTAAGGGCCCATTCCTGCCATGACCTTGGGCCCTGGACATGCTGGGACATGAGGGCCCAAAGCTATTTTTAGAGGCACAAAAGGCTAAGAAGATAATGTCTTCAAGGCCATGCCGGGAAAGGTCCCGGGCACTGGGAGGAGAGGACAGCTCTCTCGGGGCCGCTGACAGAGGGCCGCTCCCCAGGGACAGACCAGCAGGTCGGGCTGAAAGTCAGCCACGAGGAGGCTCCCAGGAGGGCCTGCCCGTGAGTGGGGCTGCTCAGACCCAAGCACCTTGTGCATTTCCTCCCCATCCTGGAGAGGAAGGCGACCTCTCACGGCAGTATGACCTCGGGCGAGGAATCCGCCCTCTCGGCCTCAGCTTTCCCGACTGTTCGGTGGGGATGTAACAACAGCATCCCATTCACCTCAGTAGACGTGCACCGATCAGAGACGGCTGCAAGGCAAAGCCGCTCCTTGCCCAGACCCCGGCCGTGAGCTAGCTGAGCCTCTCCAAGTCAGTCCTAGCGTCTGAGCCTCAGTGTCTCTGCCTCTGCGTCCGAGCTCTGGACCCTCCCTGCCCAGGGCTGGACTCCTCCTCTGCCTCGCGTGGCCACAGGACGCTGGACACGCCAGTGCCGTCCTCTGCACCATTTCCGACCTGTCCGTCTGGTAGGAATATCGACGGGCCCGCTGTGATCCCGTGGCCTCGAGCGGGAGCAGGCACCTAGTCCGGCCTTGATAAGGGCCACAGTTATTATTACAATGGCTATTATTTTCCTACTCTGGAAAAAAGACGCAGGAAGAGGAGGGAGCCAGAACTGCTGGCTGCCTGCCTGGTTCTGCCCTTCCTGCAAAGACTCCCAGAGAGAAAGAGAAAGGCGGGGGGTGTCGCGGGTGGCGAGAGCAGCGGATGGGTGGCGGGCCGGAGGCGTCCGAGGGCGCGCGGGCACGGCGGAAGCACTCACTCGTTGGTCATCTGCACCACCTTCTCGATGGCGGTGTAGCCGGCGGCCAGGAAGTGCTCCGTGTACTGCTGCATCTTGATGGACTCGAGCCACTCGGCCACCGTGCGGAAGGGCACCCCCTCTGAGCCGCTGGTGCTGGGCAGCCGGATGGACACCCTGCAACAGGGACCCGCACCCGGTGAGGCGTGTCCCGCGGTTCCTGGCCTGGTGCCGCCCCACCTGGCAAGACCCAGAGGCCCTATGCCTCAGTTTGCTCCTCTGGGTGAGGAGGAAGCCATGTCTGGGGGCTCAGGGAGCGAGCTGGCACACGGGGGGCACACGTGCTCCCCCTGGCTCCCACTGACGACGCCACAGCAAAACCACAAATGACGAACCAAGTTGAGGTTCGGATGGCAGGAGCCACAGGCCCAGCCTGGCCAAACGCCAGCACGTAAGATACTTAATTGCCCCTATGTCTCAGTTTCCTCATTTACAAAAAGGGGAGATAATTACAGGACCCATCTGGGAGATTGTTCAAATGAGTTAAAACATGTTAAGTGCTGCGCTCTGTGCCTGGCACACTTGCTCTGGACACGGCAGAGCCCACACCCGCCCCCCCACAGGGCCCCCGGCCCTGGCTGGCCACCACGCCGGGGTGGCTCACTAGGAAAAGTGGGGGCTGCCGTGGCGGAGGCGTGAGCTCACCGAGGGTCAAAGTCAGCCAGGGTCTTGAGGGAGTCGGGGGCCCGGATGAGCTTGTCGAGGATGCTGACGATGTCGGCAAACTTGGGGCGGCGGGCCCGCTCCTGCTGCCAGCACTGCATCATGAGCTGGTAGATGGCCGAGGGGCAGTCCATGGGCGTGGGCAGCCGGAAGCCGTCGTTGATGGCCTTCATCACCTGGCGGGGCAGCGCGGTCAGGGGAGCCGGGCTGCAGCCATGAAGGCTGCACCCCCTTGGCAGGCTCCTTGGGGAGCCCCACGACACAGAGGTGGGCAGGAGAGGGAAGAGGCACCCCAGAAACACGAGCCCGGCATGCAGAGTTTCACAAGCAGCAAGGGCTGAAGGGCTGTCTCGAGGATTCCAGGGAGGGGACCCCGCAGCCCCGCAGGGCACCCCAGGCAGGAGCCTCGCAGAGGGCCCTACGGGTTGAGGGTGTCTGTGCCTGCTGCTCCTCTGGGCCTGAGCGCTTTTCCCCTCCCGTCCTCCCATGGCTACCTGACTGTGCCTTAGCCTCAGCTGAGACGTGACCTCCTCTGGCAAGCCTTCGGGGTCTCAGGCCCGTGAGGGACCAGGCACGTGGGCACATACATGTGCCCTCATGAAGATGCATCCACCCACACCCACACCCACACACACACTTCGTTCCCTCCCACTGACTGAGCAGGGACTGGGTGGGGCGCCCGGCACAAGCCTGGCTCACAGTAGGCCCCCGAGAAACATTTTCTGGGAAAACTAACAAGTTTGCTGAACCAATGAATGGCTGCACCTGATAAAGATTAGCTCCCAGCCCCCCAACTTTTCTCCACCCCGGGGCTTGCGAAGGAGTCAGAGGTTCACGCTCAGACCGGACGGGGACGGAGGGGCCTACCTCGTGGTTCGACAGCTCCCAGTAGGGCCGCTCCCCGTACGTCATCACCTCCCACATGACGATGCCGTAGCTCCACACGTCGCTGGCCGAGGTGAACTTGCGGTAGGAAATGGCCTCCGGGGCCGTCCAGCGGATGGGGATCTTGCCACCCTGCGGGGGACCCAGGCCCGGTCAGCACTCCGGTTGCCCCAGGACCGCAGCGGCCAGGCAGGTCCCACCCTCCGTGCTCCCCACAGGTGCTCCCAGGGCCACACTTCAGGGGTGCGGGTAAGGAGCCCCTGCAGCAGGGCCAGCTGCTCCACCCTCGGGTCCCCCCGCCCGGGGACGGCCTCCCGCACTCACGCTGGTGGTGTAGGTGGCCTCGGGGTCGTCCTCCAGCACGCGGGACAGGCCAAAGTCCGACACCTTGCAGACGAGGTTGCTGTTGACCAGGATGTTGCGGGCGGCCAGGTCCCGGTGGACGTAGTTCATGTTGGCCAGGTACTTCATGCCCGCCGCGATGCCCCGGAGCATGCCCACCAACTGCAGCACGCTGAACTCGCCGTCATTCTCCTGCTGGAGCACACAGGCCCTCAGCTGCCAGCCAGCCCCAGCCCACCGGGGCACCCCCACCCAGCCCACACCCTTACCCGAAGGAACTTGTCCAGGGCCCCGTTCTCCATGTACTCCGTGATGATCATCATGGGCTTGTCTGCAGGGGGCGGGCACAGGGTGGGGGGGTCAGCAGAGTTGGAAGGGGCAGCCCAGGGGTGTGGGGGGGCAGGAGGGTGCAGCTAAGGATAGAGATCCTGGTCGGAGACCCCGTGGGCAGCCCCCCTCCACCGCCCCTGGCTCGGGCCCAGAGGAGCCCCCCAGCTCCGGCCAAGCCTCACACTTGGAGACGACGCCCTCCAGTCGGATGATGTTGTGGTGGCTGAACTGGCCCATGATGCTGGCCTCGCTCAGGAAGTCCACCCGCTGCTTCTCTGTGTAGCCGGCTTTCAGCGTCTTGATGGCCACGGGCACCTCCTTCTTCCCCGACGCCTTCAGCGTCCCCTTGTACACCTCCCCAAACTCTCCTGCGGGCAGCCAGGGAGGGGACCCCCCCCAGTCAGCTGGGTGCAGGTGCCCCCACCTTGCCCCCGCCCCCCGGCGCAGGCGCCAACCTCACCTGCTCCGATCACCTTCTGTCGCGTAACGCAGGACGGGTGGATCTCGGTGGTGAACTTGAGCACGGCCTGGTTGGGGTCCTCATATGTGTGCGGGTCCACGTAAGTCTTCAGGGGCTTCAGTTGTTCTGGAAGGGGGAGGAGATGAGGGTCACCAAGAGCTCAGGGATGGACCTCTGCCCGAGATGGGGGTGGCCAGGGACCTCAGGAGACTTGGGCCAGGCAGCGGCCAGTGCCTCAGAGCTGCCTGAGGAAGCTGTGGGCTGCACCCCAGAGCCCCAGGGTGCCCCAGGGCTCCCGTGGCTGCCCAGGCGGGGAGGTGGGGGAGGGCTGGGCACGGAGCAGGGCTGCATCTCACCTGACTTGGAGAAGTAAACATCCTCTGAGGACTGGCGGGCTCGGAGGCTCCTTCTCCTGCGAAGACCCCAGGAGACCAAACCCACAGGGAGGTCAGCACCTGTGGCCAGCGACCTCCTGGCCTACTCTGGTCCTAAGTGGAGGTCTGGCACGCTCAACACTGCCCCAGGCGGAGGGTGCAGGGGAGGCCAGGTGAGAGGCGGAGGAAATGAGCACGCACACCGCCTGCACCCCGGGTGACCCCGCAAGTTACTGTAACGAGGGCTTTCCTCGTTGGGGCTCCCCAGCGCTTCCGGCCTGCGGGCCAGAAGAAGTGCGGACACAGCACTAATAACCAGTGAAGATGACGGCTGTGGTCGCCCCCCCAGGGCGCCCAGGACTTCACAGGCTAGTGCCTCTTGCACCCCTGGGGGTAGGAGGGGGCAGGGCTTAGACTCCTAGCAGCCCCATCCTAGCAGCTCATGTTCCTTCAGGAAACTGTGGTCCCCACCCCTCTGCATCCCACCTGAACCCCTGGGGAGCCCAGGGGCCCACAAACCTGCGATGGATGAAGACGCCGACTCCCGCCAGCAACAGCAGCAGGAGCAGGCCGACGGCCACACCGCCAATCACCGCCATGTTGCTAGATCCTTCCAAGGCTGTGGGGCGAGACCAGCTGATGACGAGGGAGCCCCCCACACCCCAACACCACCTGTTGCATGCGTTCACTTGCACGGGTTCAGAAGGATGCCTCCTTCCACTTCAGCCGTGGTAAGAGCGGGCTCCCGCGGGCAAACAGCAGGTGCAGGTAGCTGCGTGGACACTAAGCTGGCTCCATGATGTGGGGTGTGAGCCGGGACTGCCCTGAATGCTCGTCCCTGCTCCTCCACCCCAGGGCTCTGGTCTGTTCCTGCCCCCAGCTTAGGGGAGGGCTGCCCGGCCCTGGCTGCCCAGGAGGGGGCATTGCCCCTCTCAGGAGACCCCGCAGCTGCTCCCTGTGAGGACCCTGACTTGGCCCGTGCCCTGAGCCCCAACTCACACAGCGTCTGGAACTCGTGCACCTTGCTGCCAGCACCTTGGCCCTCCTGCGTCAGCGCCTGCACCTGGACCAGGTAGGTGGTGTCCGGAGCCAGGTCGTCCAGGGTCACAGAGAAGCCGTCGGTCCGGCGCACATTGTAGCTGTTGGAGTCACCCTGCAGGTGCAGGAGCTGCGGTGAGGCAGAGCTGGGCAGGGCTGGGCAGGGCTGGGCATCCTCCATCCAGCGGAGCAAGGCCAGCCCCGCTCAGCCAGGTGGCTCACCTCTGTTGGCAAATGCCACGCTCTTCTTACAGAAGGGGAAACTGAGGCTTGGAGAGCGACCAGCTCAAGGTCACAGACAACAGATGTCTGAGCAGGACACACCCAGGTCTGCCTGGCCCCCAAGACCTGAACCTGCTCCCCAGCTCCCTGCTTCTCCTCTCCCACAAGTCTGCTGTGCTGATCTGGAAGTGGCGCACCCCCAGACCTCAGTTTACCCATCTGCAGAGTGGAGCATCTTCACTGTGCATAGTGTAGTGAGCAAGAGCCAGGCATGCCCGCCGGCTCTGCTCACAGCCCCGCGGGCCAGCCTGGGCCCCCCGTTACCTTCTTGCGGTAGGTGACCTCGTACTTCCAGACGCGGCTCTGCTGTGGCAGCGGGATACTCCAGGAGACGCTCAGTGAGCTGGTGCTGCGGCCCTCCAGCTTCACCTTAGGGGGCTCTGGCGGGACAGTAAGTGGGGGATGGAAATGAGGCTCGCCTGGGAGCGCGGGTGGGGATCAAGCCGGTCCTCCCATCGCCCAGACAGTTTGGGATCCTAACCCTGGATTCTTAACTTTCAGCTCTGGGGCACAGAGCTCCGAGCCCCAGCCACAGCAGTGGCTGACACAGTAGAGGGCCCTGCACATATTTATGTATAAATCATAAAAATAAAGCAATAGCGGCCCTCCCTGGTGGCACCACGCAGGGAGGTGAGGACGCAGCACTGCAAGCCGGCCGCAGCCACTTCAGTGTGAGTTTGATCCCCGCCCAAAGGTGACCCACAGGGCGCGGCAGACCTCTCCTATCTCCCCGCTTCTCCCTCAGCAGTGTACTTTGTCAGTCTGCCTGCTCTGCTCCCCACTCTGTCTCTGGGGAAGCCTCTCACCGCCCCCGCACCTCTGATCTTTACCCCAGTTCTGTATGCACAAATAAATAAATCTTAAAAAATAAAATAAAGCCATAGCTGGCTGCTGTTATATCCTTCTTCGGGCCCAGGCACTGTCTAAAAGTCTTCTATATAAAACGATCTATTAAATCCTCTCAATAGCCCTATTACGACCCCTGTTTGTTTTTTTTTTTAAAGATTTATTTATTCATACAGAACTGGGGTACAAGCCAGAGATCCGGATGGTGAGAGGATTCACCAGAGACAGTGTGGGGAGCAGAACAGGCAGATTGACGAAGTACACTGCTGAGGGGAGCAGCAGGCGGGTCAGGAGAGGTCTGCCACACCATGTGGTCACCTCCGGGGCAGGCAGGGATCGAACTCATGCGGAAGTGGCTTAAGCTTCTTAGTGCTGTGCTTTAACCCGCTGCGCCACCAGGAAGGGCCCACGACCCCTGTTTTTTAAGTGAGGAAACAGAAGCTCAGAGAGGTTGAGTAACTTGCCCAAAGTCACAGAGCTCGGGAGTGACTCCAGAGACTGTGCTTTTATTTATTTATTTAAAGAGTTATTTATTTATGCATACAAAAGCTGGGACATGGGCCAGAAGTGTGGGGGAGAGGGGAGTGGGGTGAGAGGATTCACCAGAGACAGCGTGGGGAGCAGAACAGGCAGATGGACTGAACTACACTGCTGAGGGGAGCAGGGGAGCATCCGGAGAGGCTGCCGCGCCCTGCGGGTCAGCGCCCTGGCTGGGATCAAACTGGTGCTGCAGCGGCTGCGGGCGGCTTCACAGTGCTGAGACTTAACCCCTTGCACCACAGGGAGGGCCCAGAGACTGTTTCTAACCACCGGCCGAGCCTGGTGGCGGCTCCCAGGAGCACACGCGCCCCCTCTGCGCCCCGCCTCCCAGGCCCTCACCTGTCTGGTTGATGCTGACGCTGGCCGTGCGGAAGCTGCGGCTGGCCACCAGCCCCGAGACGCCGTTGCGGGCCTCCACGACAAACGTGTAGTTCATGTGCGGCTCCAGGTCGCTGACCGTCACGCTGGTGCGGGTGAGCCCGAGCGGGAGCTCCGAGTAGCGCACGCTGGCCTCGCAGGGCCCACACTCACCCGACTCGGGCCAGCACTGCTCGCAGGTAACGGTGTAGGTGATGTCCTCGCGGCCCCCGTTGTCCTGGGGGGGTGTCCAGCGCAGCTCCACTTTGGCGCCCATGCCCACGGCCGTGAGGTAGTGCGGGGCGGAGGGGGGCCCTGCGCAGAGGCGAGGGCAGAGCCTGGGTCTCGTCCCCTGCAGGTGCCGACCGCCCGCCCCCATCCCGGGTCCGCCGCGAGACTCACGGGTGCAGGGCATGGACAGCGGGTCCGACGCTGCCCGGAAGTAGCCTTCCTCGCACTGGCAGTGGGTGGCGCCCTCGGAGGACGGCAGGGTGTGAGCGGGGCACTCCAAGCACAGGCTGTCGGACGCCTCGGACTTGAAGAATCCCGGCGAGCAGGCTGGCGGAAACGGCCAGAGGTCAGTTCAGCCAGTCCCACCCCGGGGGGCTTCTCCCTGTCACGGGGACCCCGGGCAAGCGGCTTCACCTCGGAGGGGCCTATACCAGGCACCAGAAAGTGCCCCCAACCTTGTATCACGCCCCCCGACCCCCCAAGAAGCTCCACACCCCTGGGCCTGGCGTTCAAGGCTCACATTTCGCCCTCCAGTTCCCTCAGGTGTCCACCTCACACCTGGCTCACCTGGCTCAGCCCGCTGCCACTGGCTTGCTCCTTTAACCCATGCGCACCAGGCTGTCGGGTACCCACGAGGACAGCAACTTCTTTACCAATTATGTTTGTTGACTGACTGTCAGCACCACCCAGCCCATCAGCCAGACACACCCCTCAGGATGCCACCAGGCAGGTGTCCCCTCACCCCAGGACCTGACAGCCTTCCCGTCTGGGGCTGGCCCACCAGGAAGCAGGAAAGGCCAGGACCCCAGTCCTTTCTCCGGACCTGCTTGTTGGACCAAGTCATTTCCGCCACTACAGGGGCAGCCAGGAAGCGGCTCTTCCTCCTCCCGGCGGCAGGTCCTGTGCTGGCCAGGCAGGCCAGGGGCTCAGGCACCTGATCGGCGGCTCCTTCCTCCCACCGCCCCATCCACCTCCTGCCCCGAGCCCCTTCCTGGCCCCACAGACAGGAAGCTGCCCAGACACGGGCCCTCTGTGAGGCTGCCCAGGGCTTGGGCAGAGTGGGATGGGGTCACCCTAAGGGCCCCTCTCACAACCTCACCGTGGCCACCCAGCCTTCGGCTCATTCTATGGAGAGGGAGCTGTGCCACCCCACGCTCAGCGCCACGTGCATCCGTCACTCAGGCCCTCTGCCGGGTGCCCGGCCCTCAGGGGAGACAAGGCCCTGCCTTATGGCAATGTCGGTGGTAAAGGGGAGGGCCAGAGGCTCAGCGGGAGAGAAGCTGGGTGGGCACAGGCCTGCAGAGCCCCAGTGGTGCCGTGGGGGCTGAGAGGCGGAGTAGGAGCTCAGCAGGGCACAAATCTTGGGAGAAGGAGTCAGGGTGGGAAAGAGCCAGAACGGCACAGAGAGGATGTGTGGCTTTGTGGCACAAAGTGGGCGAGCGGAAGGCATAGGCTGCCAGGTGTTCGGGAACACACAGACAAAGGCCTCGACTGCCAGGCCAGGGAGCCAGGATCCCTCATTGCCCAGTCGCCCTGTGGACAGAAGTGGACAGTGGAGCTGGGAGTCCGAGGACAGGATTCAACGGACACCCAGTTCCTTCAGGTCTCGCACAGGGGCTCCCTGCCAGGACTCCAGCTGCAGGGTCTCTCCTCTCCCTGCCCAGGGCCGGCGTCTCCCGCGCCCACCTGCCCTGCTTCGTGCGGCCGCGACAGACACACTGGAGCCTCAGCATCGCCCCGGCGCTCGGGCATGGGTGGCAGGACAGGGGTGCGGAGCCTGGAGCCCTCTTGAAAACGCTGACCACCCATCAGGCTGTGGCCACGCCCTGGACATCCACTTAGCCCCACAACACGCCAGTCACGGCTAGGCACGGTCGGATGCCCAGAGGGGAAAAGCACCTGTCCCAGGTCTCCCTCCAAGCTCCTCCTGACCTGGGGTACGGCGCCTTCAGCCTCTCTCCCTTCCCACCAGCTCCCCACCTCGGAGCGAAGGGATGAGCAACATTCTGAAACAAACCCCAAGAGAGGGGAGATGGAGCCCCACCTTTGTCAACAGCCAGAAAACCCCAAGACTAACTTCAGAGCTCCTGGGGTGCGTGTGCGGTACCCCTAACACAGGCTTCTCAAACCAGGTACTTGTGTGTTCTATGGGGAGAGAGGCGTGGGATCACTCAGGGGGGCCAGGGTGCGGGGGGCGTACCCAAGTGGTCCTCTTTGACCCCAAAGGTCTTTCCAGTCTCCTATTCTATTAAGAAAATGATGTGTGCTCTGTGTTCCTCTTCCTAACAGCTCCACTCAAAACAAAAATAGCTCTCCCCGCCCCCAAATCGGCAAGTAAAAATGAGACTCCAGAAAGCAGGGCTGTGTTTGCCCTGGGATTTCAATGCCTCCAAATGCCCTGACTTGTCTGCCAAGGGCCCTCGCCCTGGGTGAGTGCGGCTCCAGGTGGTCCCAGCCCCATGGAGTTGGGGTGCTCAGGGAACCCTGAACCACATTGCACCTTCTCAGCCCAGGCTCTCAGGCTTGCGGGGTGGGGGCGGGGGCGGGGCTGCCATCTCCCACCAGGCCCCCACCCCGTGGGAGTCCCAAGCCCCCCAGCCCTGTGCCAAGAGGAGGAAGTGGGGGAAGAGCCGGGTTCCATCCTTTGGCCCCAGAGCCCGGGGGTGGCCCGCCCGCTGCCGGCAGGAAAGAGGGAATTTGGAGAGATTTCCGCTGCGGACGTGCCAGATAATACAGTGGCGAGGCTGTGGCAACGAGGCATGTGCTTGCCTGACGGCACCGGGCACCCCCTCCTCCAACACAGCCCCAGGGGCTACCCCCGCCGGTCTGGCTGGGGGTCCCAGAGCTCCAGAGCAGACGCCAACAAGCCCCTGTGTTCCCTGCTCTGCCTGGCTGGATTTCCTGGCATTTGGAGCAGGTAAGGGGGAACAGGGCCCACACCCAGGGCCCCCCACACACACTCAACTCCACCCTCCACCACACACACACACACACACACACACACACACAGTACCCCACTGCCCCTTAGCCAGCTAACTCCTGGGCACCTTCAACACCCCCTAGAGCTCCTCCACACAGCCCTCTCGGGCTGCCCAACTGATGACCTCTTCTGCCCCATCAGGGCATCTGTTACTCAATCTTGTGTTTACCAAACATGAATTGAGCACTTCCTACGTGTCTGGCACAGTGCTGGGCGCTGAGAGCCGATGGTGGGTTAGATAAACACCCTTTCTGCTCGGGGGCGCCCACAGCCTGGCTTTCCGGCTGCCTGTGAAATTATTTCTGCACCCAAGAGAATCCTCTACTGAGGCTGGCGGCTCCTAGAGCAGGAGTGGGTGCGATTTACCGGTGCCCCTGGCCCAGCACAGTCTCTCACGGAACAGTAGGTCTTAGCTGATGTTGAGCAGTGAGGAGTGAGTGAGGGAGTCGGTGAATGGCACCTTAACCACGTGTCCCAGGGCCACAGAGCCCAGCGAGGTCTCGGTGCCCGGGGGACCCTGTGTCTGGGGTGCACCCACCTGCCTGCCACAGGAGCCCGACTCTGGCACAAACATGGAGAGCTCTGGCCCTGGTCGCTGGGCAGGCCCAGCCCGCTTTAAGCAGGGGAACTGGGGCACAGTGGCTGCACCCGGGGCTGCACCCCGGTTTTTCCAGTTCCCGAAGCCCGCCCCTCAGGTGGCAGCGTGGGGTGACTCAGGGACAGACGCCCGCTGGCCTGGCCCAAATCCAGCCCTGGCTGAGCCCCTCCCCAGGCCCAGTCACCTCCCAGGCTGCTGGCGGCCAGGTCATCTGGTCAAGAGGTCGAGGTGACAGTCTCCCTAAGGCCACAACCTCCCGAGTCCTGCCGGAGACCAGGCTGGAGGCCACGCGTTCCCTCCGCCGGAGCACGAGGGGACCTGGACTTTGTCTCTAGCTCCAACAGGCAGCCAACGCCAACCTGGAAGTTACTGACCCAGTGAATGAGGGCAACTGATAACTCCAGGCCCCAGAAGCTTCTGGCTCCCGAGCAGGCCCGTCCTCGCTCAGCCACAGAGGCCTCCCTAGGGCCCAAAGGCTGCCAGCACCTTGCCCCTTTCACACACACCCCGGGGAATTATCTTGGGGCACATTCCTGCACCAAGCCCAAGATAAGCACAGCTCCCCACCCCAGGCCCCCGCCTCCCCCCCCCTCCACCAGCCTTTTATCTTCTATTTGCTCTCCTTGGCTCCTTCCTTCCGTTCTTTGGGACACACTCACCTCCTGGGAGGGCGGCGGAGACTGCCATAACCTGCCCCCCCACCTCCACCACCACCGTGTGAGGGGAGGGTAGGTCAGGCAGGGCGTGGGGGGGGAGCTTCCACCCACAGCCCCACCCCTGCCGGCCCCAGGAACAACACAGAACTAAGTGGGGTGGCACTCCCCAGGGAGAGGACAAGCCTGAAGGTCACGGCCAGTAGCTCCCAGGGATCCCAGGGGTGCTGTACCTGACAAAGCAGGGCTCAGCAGTCCAGTCACCACCCAGGGCCACCCTAGCTAGAGCCTTGCCCTGCCCAGGGCCACCCAGGCAGTGAGCACTAGGACCAGCCCCCTGGTCTCAGGCAAGAGTCTGTCAGAGCAACCCAGGTTTTCAGACTAAATCACAGCAGAAAGTCTCCAGAGGTAAACCTAGTGGCTGACCACTAGGTCAGCCAGAGTCCGGCCTGCTCATTTTACAGGTGGGGGACGTGAGCCCAGAGGGGGAGCCAGAGTCCGGAGGTAAACCTAGTGGCTGACCACTAGGTCAGCCAGAGTCCGGCCTGCTCATTTGCTCATTTTACTGATGGGGGACGTGAGCCCAGAGGGGATCTGGAAGTTCATTCAGCTTATGGGTGGAAGGACACGTGCCAGGAGATAGGGGACACGGCTCCCTGCGCCAGGCTCCAGCTTCACTGGTCACTGGTCATGGTTTTCTCTCCAGGCCTCCATTTCCTCATCTGTAAAATGCAGAGCCCTGAGCCTCTCTGGGTCTTCTGTGAAGGCTGCAGGGGAGCTTCTTATGAAGGCAATGCCTAGGGGGTGTCTGGATGGAGCATCTTGGAGCCATCCCTGGGGGTGCTGAGCCCCGGAGGACGACGAGGCTCCAAGGAGAGAATTCCTGCCGCCTCACAGCCCCCACCTGCAGCTCTGGCCTCCCAGCTGCTGGGCTGAGCTCTGACTGAAGCTACTGGCCACCTGCTCACCTGGCCGGCAGTCCCTGTGGTCAGGCGCCACCCTGGGCCGCCAGCTCAGCTGCTGATGCCAGCACAGGAAGCGGACAGAGAGACAAAGCCGCCCTGGGGGAGATGATGGTCAGCCTGAGTGACTCCACTGTCCCCCAGGCAGGGCTGGGGGAGAGGGTGGGGCAGGAGGGCGGGCTGGAGTGAAGCTGGTTCATTCCTGACATAGCTCACGAGAGCTCCTGGGCAGCGTGCCCACCTGTCCGAACACACACCTGAGAGGTGCCTCCCTTCCGCCGCCATTTAACTCTTTCCTGGGCGTCAGGTTTCCTGGGGAAAGAGCCCTCAGGAGACATGAACTCTAGGGGTAAGCTGGACTAGGTACTGACGACCTTGGGGTACCCATGACCCCTCTGTGGGTCATCCTGGAAGCCCCAGGGAAGGGTCTGGGGACGGTCAGGAGGAGAGTAGCCCCGACGCCTCCCCCCATTCCCTCAGCGCGCCTGGTAGTGACCCCCCCACCCCACGCCACCTCCTGCGCCAGGACCTGCCACCCCAGCGCTGCCCAGGGAACCTGTCCCAGGGCCAGGAGCTGAGTCAGGGATTCCGAAGGAACTGGTCACTTCCTGCCCCGTTTCCTGACACTTCCTCTGGCCCCCACACCACTGCACTGCTGGACTCAAATCATGAAGCAGCCACATCTTAGCTGAGAGACTCCAGGCGAGTCTCTGGGCATTTCTGCGACTCAGGATCTCATTGGCGAGATGGGGCTGATAACAGGTGCGGGGTCAGCAAGGGCGTCCCTGTCCTTGGAGAGGCCCTGTCTGCAGGACACTGGCATTTTCGCCATTGTCATCGCCGTCAGGGGCTGCTGGGAGGAGAGTATTAGAATAAAAAGCAGCCAGGCTGGGCACGCTCAGTCAGCCAGAGGGCCAGCCCTGAGGGAACCCCACTGAAGGGAACCCCACTGGGGCCAAGGGGGACAGTCTACAGAGGGAAGACCAGGGCTACAGGAGGGTACCCCCGGAGAGCCTGTCCTCCCTATTGGGGTCTGCTCAGTTCTTCACAAACAAAGCTGCCAGAACCGTGACCTCCAAGAGGAGGTGAAGTCTACCACCCCTTCCGGGAGAGACCCCCCAAGCCCAACCATCCACTTATCTCTGCACAGCCTGAACCACCAGCCTGTGGAAAGTTTTCAGCTGCCCCTCACCCCCCACCCCCGCATTCTTGAGCAAGGATGTCATGTGGGAGGAGCCCGCTGGACCTAGGGCGTTTGGGCCCCCCCACCCTGCGGTCATTGTCTGACTGGGAGTGTGCAGTTGGGGTCACCTAAAGCAGGGGTCTCCTGGGAAAGGGGACCCACTCAGAAGAGCAGAACTGAGAGGAAAGGGATGACAGAAAGGGCCAGAGCAAAATCTCTCCACAGGTCCAGGCCAGAAGGGGCCTCGGGCGTCTCTCGTGCAGGGTCTGCAGACCGTTAAGGTTCTGAGGACCTGTTCTGGGAGGTCAGTAGTGGGAGGTCAGACTCCTCTGACAGTTGAACCTCCTTCATGGGTTGCGGGTTCATGGCAAAACACCAAGGATAAAGTCTGCGGGGTAGTTGAGCTTGTTTTAGGATAGGAAACCGGAAGCAGAGACGGGGGAAGATCTTCCAGTGACCACACAGTAGTCAGGTACAACGGCCCCAATTTCTCAACACCCCACTTATCCCAGCAGAGAAGCTTCCAGAGAGAGGGCGTGAGCTGGCTTCCAAAGGTCAGCCTGCATTCCACAAATCCCAAAGCCTTTTCCAGAAAAAGTCAGCCATTGAAAAAAACTAAGTTGTAGAGATGGCCGCTGTCACGGGCCAGGGCCCTGCTAAGCGTCCCAGTGTGAGCTCATTAATGTCCAGCCCCATTCCCAGAGAACCTGATTTAAGTGACCCTTGATCAGGCCTTGCAGCTCGGGGCGCTGGTGGGTCCGAGACTCTGCTGCCCTTCCCGTCCACGTTTTCCATCAATGTCAAAACTTTTCAAAATTTGCCCTGGTGAGTCTGGGCCAATTCCCTCATCCCGGGTGGGGAAGAGGCACCCGAGACCCAGAGAGGTTACGTCACTTGCCTAGGGTCACGCAGTGAGTTAAGAGAAATGAAACCAGCGCCCGCCGTGTGTCCACGGCGCTGGGATAAAGTGGAGTCTCGACGGACACTGGTGGGATGAACCAAAAATAACAACCACCCTTAAAAGCAGGATGTGTCAGGCACTGACCTAAGCACTTTATGAGTATTAAGTCATTCGGTTATCATAACAAGCCTACACGGTGGTACCACATTCCCTTCATTTATAGATGAGGAAATCCGGACACAGAGAGATCAAGGAACTGTCTGAAAGTCACGCAGCTAAATGCACAGCTGTGATCCGAACCCAGGCCTCAGGCGCCAGAAGCCCCCCTTGCCCCTTGCTCCTTCTGAGTTGCCGGAAAAGTCATGACACATTTTGGCTTGAAAAACAGAAAAAATACATCAAGACTTTCCCGACGGCCCCATATGATCTTCCGCAGGGAGCCCAGTGATTCCCGAGTCCAGGAAGGCCCTGAGATTTTTACTAACAGAACGGCTGCCTGTTGGAGCAGAGCTGACCTGGCCAGGCCCCCAGCGCCCCAGAGCCCAGACGAGAGCCCGAAGTGGGCCTCCCATCCCGGGACCCCCTCTCCCGGTCACCCAGCGCGGCCACTCACCCTGGCAGGCGTCCTCCACCTTCTCGTAGCCTTCCTGGCACAGACACTGGCCGATGCGCACCAGCCACTCGCCGTCCACAGCACAGTGCATGCGGGGCTCTTCGCCCCCGGGGGGCACCACGGCGTGGTCCACGCAGGTTCCGGCCACGGTGGCCAAGGAGGGCGCGTCGGAGCCCGCGATGGTCTCCGGGAAGCGGGCCAGGCCCTGCAGCAGCTCAGGGCACTTCTTGTAGTACACGCGGACGGAGAGAAGCGCCACGCAGGCGCCGATGTCCTGGAAGGCCAGGTAGAAGCCCTTGCGGCTAAGCGGCCCCACTGAGCGCTCCTCCACGTTGAGCTTCACGTGGCGCGCCTCGAAGTCGCTGCTGACCGTGATCTCGTCCGGCGCGATGGTGTCGATCTTGTTGAACTGGCGCTTCTGGAAGTTGGTGCCGTAGTCCACGTCGGACTCGGCGTAGTAGAGGTTGAAGGTCTCCTTGCAGGAGCTGGCTCCGCCGGGGAAGCTGTTGCAGTCGCGCACGGTGAACTTGAGCTCGATGAAGATGCGCTCGGCCTCGCCACGGTACACCCAGTTGGTGCGCAGCCAGTTGTCCTGATCCCCGGCCACCACGTTGCACACAGAGTACATATAGATGGGTGTGTCGTCCATGATGATCTGCATCAGGTCCCACTGCGCCGGGAACCGACAGTTAGTGCGGGGGACGCCCTGGACGGGACGCCGAGCCAAAGGCAGAGCTGGGGAGACGCTTAGTGCCCTCACTGTACAGGGGAGGAAACTGAGGCCCAGGGTTGTGTGCTACAAGGGGCGGAGTCTGCATGGGAACCCCTGGTGTGTCTGATCCCAAGTCGGGGTGCTGAACATCCACAGGAGACTGTGAGCTGGGGTTTCTGTGTGACCTCATTTCAGCTCCCTGAGCCTAACATCCCATCTGTCCAGGGGCAAGCTCTACCTCAGAGAGTTGCTATGAGGACAAATGACCGAATGTCTACAAAACTCTGAGCGCATTGCGTGGCTAAAGAGGCAGCTGATAACATCACCTTGTTATTGTTACTGTTATTCTTCATGGTATGTGCATGTGTGCAGACCCAAGGTGGCGGCGGGGGAAAGGGTTAAGTCGGGAACAATGGAGGTTCCCTCACCATTTAGATCTTATCATCTAAACAGATAAATAGCATTCCTTCTACCTGAAGACACAGCTCCCCCTCCTCCAGGAAGACTTCCTAGGTTGGACCAAGCTTGGGTCCAGGGTCCCCCTCTGGCTCTTATCATGTCCAAGTCTGCTTTATCATAACACCAGCATGGTGACACCTGCATCTAGCTCCCACTCTAGATTCTGAGCTCCTCTGGGCAAGGACTAGACCGAATTCATTTCTGTAACCCCAGGGCCTCCCAGAAACAGAGTAGGTGCTCAGGAAAAGATTTGTTGAAAGAATAGATGAAAGCAGAGGGGACGAGGAGAAAGGCCTGAATTGAGAGAGGCCTGAATTGTACCGTGTGATACAGGTTAAGGTCTCCAAGGCCCTGGGGCCTCAGATTCCCTCTCTGTAAAGACTGGGTTGGGTTAGGTGACCTGTGTCCCCCTCCTACCCAGCTGGACATTCCAGGATCCTGGAAATCCACTCACAGCTACACCCCAGGCCTCCGGGGGGCTAAGATGGCCAGGAATAGGCAGCTGACACACACACCTGGTCAAGTATTGCCCCGGAGACACTGTGTCATCAGCTCAAGGCCCCTGAGCAAACTCAGCAAGGGTCCACTGTATAGAAGGGGAAACTGAGGCCCAGAGAGCAGCAATATTCTCCCATGACCACACAAAAAGTACACACAATTGGGGAAGGGGCCCCAGTGCCCTGCCCACCAGTCCCAGCAGGCAGGGCAGAGCGGAGGGGGGTACACTTGGGTGGGGAGGAAGCCAAAGTCAGCTTCCAGCAGGAAGAGGAGCCCCGGCTGGGGGAGCAGGAAAGGGGTCTGCAGGAAGAAACTCGATTTGGTTCTCAGGATCGTAGGGACCAGGAAAGCTCTGTTATTCTCTTCTCCCCAGTCCCCCCAAACCCCAGCTGCTTCCTGGGCTGAGGGCCTCAAAGGTCACCACTGCCCCTCCAAGAGGTGGGTGGAGGGAATCAAGGGGCCCCTCTGAGCATCAGTCCCAGTGACACGCATGCCACGGGGCGTTCCGCTGTCTCCCAGCTCTCTCCCCCAGCTGCTCTGCCTCCCTCGGAGGGGGACTCTGCGCCCTGCCCGAGCCCCTTGTCTAGGCCGGGCCCCGCCTGCCCCCCGAACCTGAAGTCTTACCCCTTTGCCATACGGGCTCGTGAGCCAGCCGAGTTCCCCTTTGGCAGCAGCAAAGTCCAATAACACAACTGAAAGAGACAGAAGGGGGAGACTGAGCTGGGGCACGTGCCGGGGGCCTCGTCACCCCTTGAGAAAGCGCCCACAGTCACAGGTCACCATATCTGAGTGACCGTCCCTTGACAAACAGGGAAACAGGTGCAGAGAGAGGATGGCCACAACCTGAGGCAGGCCGGAGCGAGGACTCGGTCTCCAGTCCCCCAAGCCCAGGCCCCGGCCACAAACACCCCACAGCCCCAGCTGGGCAGAGCGGGCAGGCAGGGCTGTTACGCGATACCACAGCAGCCCATCTGCTTTCTGGAACAAGGCCCCTCGGCCGTGCTCGCTGGCATGTGGGCCTCGGCGGCACTCATGTCTGCTCCTGCTACACCCCCCGGTGCCAATCACCCCAACCTGCCCAGACCACGGCAGCTCACAAGTGCAGATCACGTATGGACACACGTGTCTCAGGGCACTGCAAGGAGAGAGCTGGGAACAGATGGGAACAGCTTCAGGAGGTGAGGGGACCCAGGGGGTTGTCTGGAAACCGATCTTCCCACCACGGAAGCCAGGCTTAAAGCCCTGAACCCATAAAGGCCTCTTGGAGGGGCCCAAGGATACGCACAGCTGGCCAGGTCCCCTCCCGGGGAAAGTCACTCGCAAGGCCACGGCCTCACCAGGGTGCCAGGGTGGGAACCCTGGGCGGGACTTTCCAGGCCCAGAGGAACCAGTGCCAGAAGCACACTTTCCCGGAGGGGGCATCTGGAGCCCGGGAAGGCACAGAGACTTCCCTGCCAGGGGCTTCCCTACCCTGGCCTGGCTGGTAGTACCTCCCGTCGGTGGGTGGCCCCCGGCTCCCTGCCAGGCTCAGGGAGACCCTAACCCTGGTACTGCCCTCCTCCATTTCCAAGGCTGAGGTAGCTGCCAATAGGTGCCCCCTTCCTGGGGTGAAGGGAGGTTGGGGAAACTGAGGCATGCCACCTTGGATGGCTCCCTGGATTCTCAGGGTAAATCCTAAGGCAGAGGGGTGCTGCAGAGGCTCTGCTCCTTTGAGCTCTGGGGCCTCCTGGGGTACAGCATTCCTCAAGACCAGGCCCAGGAAGAAGGATCTAAGGCTGGATGAACTCTGGGTAGGCAGGGAGCAGAGATTCGCTGGATTTAGAGGTGGGGGCAGGCCCAGGGTGCCCCTCCCAGAGGCGCTGCTGTGCTCTTTCCAGAGGCTCAGAGGCCTGCTGTGAGGCAGGGTGTGAGCACTGCTGCCTGACTCTGCCCTGGGCCAGATCTCTCTCTCTAGGAAGGGTCCACGGGCCAGACAGGGAAGAGGAAATCCGATGTGGCAACAGCCCCAAGATTGAGGGGAGAGGGGAGGGCAGCCGTGGGAGTGGGTCGGGGCAGGCGCCGGGATCTGCTTGGGCATGCCCAGGGCCTGGGCTTGGAAAGTTCACTAACCCTGCTAGCAAATGGAACGTTCCAGCTCCACAGGAAGGAATCTAGGGGTTCTTGTGCCTCACAGTTCTGCACACAGGCTTCTCCCGGGGGATAGAAAAGGCCACCCAAGGGCGGGATGGCTGGCTCCCAGGCTCTGAGGGGTTAACTTGGCAGGGAAGGTCCCCCACTCCCCTCTACCCCCTTTCCAGCCCAGGCCCGGCCTGCATGGCCTGCATGGAAGTATCAGCAGGCTCAATCAGAGAAGAAAAGAAGCCTTCACACAGGAAGGAGCCTCCCCCAGGGGCTTCCAGCCACAGCCCCCTCCCAGGGAAATTCCCTAGAATCGATCACCAGGAACAGGAGCCCAGCCAGGCCCTCCACCCTGCCTGGGAGTGGGGCGCGGCTCTTCCCTCAGCCCTTCCAGGGACTCAGGCTCTAGTTTCCCAGGAAGGGGCTGGGGCCTGGGGGCTGCCCCCCACCCAGGTTTCACTGAGGGGCCTGAGAGGGCAGAGCTCATGGGGCCTGTGACCCTCCCCAGCCCCAGGAAAGTCGCCTCTGCCTGAAGTTCCATTGGAAACAGCGTCCTCAGGGGTCCTCTTGAAATGCAGTACTGCTCCCCTGGACACCTCCTAGTCCCCCATCCTTCAACCACAGCTAAGCTATTCCTCAAGACAGGGGCAGCAGGGGACTCTGGGAGCTAAACGATGGAAAAGGGGAAGGGAACAGAGAGAGAATCAAGCTGGGAACTTTACAGGCCCCCTGAGTGCAGTCAGCCAAATTGGGCCAGCAGCCCCTGTCCCCCTGCACCCCTGCCCAGCTATTCTTGCTGTGCAGGAAAATCCACCATGAAACCACAGTGCAGGGCTCTGGGCCCCAGCAGCCAAGAAGCCAGATGCTCAGGTCTGACCTGCGCTGTGCAGAGGGCCCTGGCTGGCAAGGTCTTGGGCCTCCCTCGTTTTCCAGGCTCGTAAAGGGGCAGATTCAGTAGCTGTTGAGAAGCCAGCAGGCTCCACAGAGAGGGGACGGCAGCCTGGGTTCAGGGTGGAAGGGACACGTGTGTCCTCTCTGCTCATCTCCTCTCACCAAATTCCCCCCCAACCCCCCCCAAATTTCCACATCTAGCCTGAACCCTAGAGAACATAACAACCAGCAGCTGCCAGCTGGGCCATCACCTCCCGCCACTCCTCACCCCCCCCACCCCCGTCATTCACAGGGACTCTTCGACCCTAAGCAAAAATGTCCCCCCATCCCAGACCCTATGCACACCCCATCCTTCCTCAGGCCATGGTGGGGTGGGAGAGGGAGGTGGGACTGTGCAACTTGACTGGGGGTGATCAACTTGGGGCTTGAGGAGGCTCCAGGCTTGCAGGCAGCAAAGGCAACCTCCCAGCACTGTCAGCCAGCCTAATCCCCCACCCCCCATGGGCAGCCTTGAGAAAGGCCTGTACTGACTCCAGCTGTCTCTCCCCTTCTCTCCAACCACAGTCCCAGTCCCGTAGGAAGGAGGGGACAGAAGCCTGGGCTGGGGAGGTTGCTGAGGGGCGTAGAGATCCCAGCCACCCACTGCCCCCGCAAGTTGGGGCCAGGGGCCCCAACTTGGTCCGGGGCCTGAGCCAGGATGCCACCCCCTACCTCCACCCCCAAAAGCTCCAGCTCTGCCCTCTTTTCCTCTCAAACTGAAAGAGAAACTCCAGCCGAGTTTGGGAGGTGGAAAAAGAAGGAACCTTCTCACCCTGCCGGGTTTCGTCTGCACTTCCCCTGGCCCAGCCTGCGGAAACATCCTCTGACCGCCAGAGAAAACTTGTTCTCACTGTTGGAAACTGAAGCGGCCTGGGCCAGGGCCAGGGACCCCCAGCCACTCACCCTCCCACCCCAAGGCAACGACTGCCGCCAGGGCCCCTAGCCCAGAGCGACTCTGCGCGTCGTGGCTGGAGCGGGGGTGTGTGATTCAGTCCCCCACCCCCAGGTGCCCGGACTCCCGGTGGCCCCGGGGTGACGACTCCACACCTTAGCAGGCCGCGCCCCCACCTGCCGCATTTCCCCGTCCTGAGTCACCCCTTGCGCAGAACGCTAAACTTGGGGACTTCCTGTCCTCACTCATTCACGGCCGCGAACTTGTCCCCCAGCCTGGGAATGTGGCTGAGGAAGGTAGGGAAAGCTTGTGTGGGCAGATTGCCCCAATCTCCCCCCAGCGCTTTCCTCCGGTCTGGAGGTAAAGGGGGCGTGGAGAAAACCTCAGGGAGCATGTCTCCCCAGGGGGTTCCCCGCCCGTCGAAGGACCCCCCTCCCCAAATTGAGGAACCTCTACAGAAATGCCTTTCCGCAAAATCGGGCCAAGCGGGTTGGTGAATTCGGTCACCAAGAAACTAAACTCGCGGAAAACCCCTAGACACCCCTTTCTCCAAGCCTCCTCCCCTCCCCCCGACCTCCGCCGCACACCCCACCGGGACTCGATTCTGAAGCCACGCGGGTCTATAACCGCGTGGCCGGCGCCGCGTCCCTTCTCGGCGGCCGCGGAGCCCCCCTCTCCCGGGCCACAACCCCTTAGTCCCGAATTCCCAAAAGCCCGGATGGGTCTCAGATCCGCCCCGGGGGCGGCCAGCGCGCCCTGCCCACCCCAGCGCGCGGGCACTGGTGCCGCCAGGTCAGTTTCCGAATAGCGCGCCGTCGAGGCCCGCGGGTCCCCGCGAGGCGCAGGGGCGCAGGGGTCCCGCCACCCGGCTGGGTCGGGCCGGGCCGGCAGCCGAGCGCACACTCACCTTCCTTGCCCTGGGCCGCCACCGCCGCGGCCAGCACGCAGCCCCACAGCAGGGCGAGGCAGGAGCGAGGCGCCCGACGCTCCATGCTGCGCTCCTAGCTCTCCGCCCGATCCTCTGCGCCCGGCTCCCGCGCGCCCCACGCCGGCCCAGACGACCGGCTCCCGCCCGCTGCCGCGCACAACTTGCACCCCTCCTGCCCGAAGTCCTTAATGGAAGTTGGGTGAGAACCGGCTCCTGTTCATTCATGCCCTGCGCTGACGTCACCGAAGCCACGCCTTCAGGAATGTCTTTAAAGGGGCCGGGCAGGCACCGGAGGAAAAGAAGGGGAAGTCCCAGGGGATACGGGAAGAGCCCTAGAGTCCTCCGAACTCCCTCGCGCCCTGGAGCCCCTCGGGAGTTGGAGCGCCACAAGCAAGGTGCCAGTGGCCTCAGAGCTAGTGCCCCCGGGTCTCTGAGCCAGCGTTCTGGCGCATTCTGGGGATGGGCATCTCTCCTGCACCTTTGCCCTTTGCACCGCGGGCACAGTGCTGAACCCATGTCCTGGGTGGAAACAGACTGGGAGGCCAAGTAACAGCAGCCTCAGCTGGGTCTGCCGGACGCAGACGCCCCTTTCCTGGGAGTCCTGACGATGCACCAGGGCTGGAGGTCTTGGGGTGTCTCTGCCAGGAGGTGGGGGGCCTCCAAGGCCTACAGCAGCCACCTCTAAGGAGGATACCCAAGAGCGACTTCACCCCTCATCTGAGAGGGTGGTCTGATGCTGTTCCCAGGAGAGCGCACAGAGGCCCCAGCAATTCAACAGCACACTCAAAGCTGGAAGGGAGGCTAGCCAGGGGCTGGTAGTCTGCTTTAACCACTGCTCCGTGTGGGGCCCCAGGGGCCCCAGGGGCGAGGGACTACCCTGCAGAGCCCCTGGCATGGCAGAATCGGTTGGCATGTCTCCACTCTTTGGAAGATACTTGCTCCCCACCTATCCCCCTCTAGGGACTTCTCAAGGGTTCCCCGGACGTGAGCTCATCTCCTATCCCCACGGAAGCTGCTGGCATTAGTCAAACAAACGGGAAATGTCCTCTTGCCCGCCTGTCCTGGCCACCCACGGCTGCCTATTGCCCAATCACCATTTGGCCAGTCCAGGAGGAGCAGCTGGAGCAGCCCAGAT